GAAAGAGGTGAAGAAAGGAGGAACGAGTGTGAATAAGCTTGAGTGGACTATAGAGTCTATAGAGAGGAAGAAATTTGAGACAGAGTTTGGTGGAGTATTTTGTCGTTTGACCTTTAATTACAGTCGTTATTGTACGAGTGTTGGGTGGGCTTCAAAATATTTTATAAGGAGAGTGCAAGTCCTTCGGGTTACCGAATTAGTTGAAACTTCGCAGGTTTGTAGATTCCGTCATGCAGTTCAAGAATATATATAATTATAGCTGCCACTACTCAATACTTCTTGAGATATTTATAATTGAAGTTTTATTACTTCTGTACCTACAGATTTATTTGCAATGGTATTCAATTGGTGTTGTGGCCTAATATGGACACCAGAAAATTTGAATCAGGTCGGGGGTTTGATTCCTGCCCATAGTTAGTAGATTTTTCAATCTATTTCTTATTTTGTATTCATTTTATTGTTTGATTGCCTACATGATTTCGTAACAACGACCGTCACGATCTTCCGTGAAAATATTTAATACTAAACGAAAACTAGGAGTAAATTGTGAACAAAAATGATATGTAAACATGCCCTAGGATATCGTTTATATAATGCGTGTATGAAGTTCATAAATTGATTACACGGAAAATAGTAATTAATGAAAAACTATTGGTTTGTACGGCAAGAATTCAAACAGCCTGTGCAATAATCACTAATAATTAATTAATCAGGGATAAATTTATATCCAAAATTATATTGGAAAGTTCTTGAAGGATCTGCTTTTACGATGCAATTTTAAAGTTCATAAATTAATCATAGATATTGAGTAATTTGTTAATTTTTCACTACCAAATTGGTTTATTCGGAAGTATTAGGAGCACATAACCAGAGTCAGTAACCTATCAAGAAAATCATTGTCAACTATGATATCCACTGACATAGTATATCTATGATATACATTTACATAGATTACTCCTGGGGGTCGCCTAACTCCACGTAAAACAATAAAACGACATAAATAACTAACACATTCTTTTTCCTTCTTTTTATTCACTTAAGAATCCATAAAGTTTTCTACATTCTTCAATAAATTCTGCCCAAACAGTGGTTTTAATTAGACAATCAGCATTCATTTCTATACCTAGCAGACGACAAATATGCAAAAATATGCCTTTACAACGCAGTTATAAAAGTTCACAAATTAATCATAGGAATTAAGTCATTTGTTAATTTTTTTCAAATGAACAGGAGAGTGCATAGGAAATGAGAAAAAATTACAAGTAAATGCCAGAAGCATTGTGCCTGTATCACGCAAAAGAATGTGTCTTTGTATTAACATAACCTTCAGTTGTAATTAAATAGTGTAAGTTATGATCCATTGTTTTTCTGCCTTTTATTAGTGACAGTAGAGTTTGGTTGAGAAAAGATAATATTCTGTTGAAATAAACTGGCATGTGCAACAGTAGAAAAATATTGGACTCATGGAATATCACCAGCGTAGAGTCATTAGATGCCAAGAATTATATTTTATAGCAAGAAAAATTGAAACAGTAATACAAATATGTTATGATATTTCTGTTGAATTCTAGGTCGGCTAACCATATAACATACAAGATAAAAATCTTTGATTTCAAAGATTGAAAAGATTCAGAAGGTGGAGGTGGCTTAGGCATACAAAAAGGAATGAAATTAATTTAGGTGATGGCCTCTTATAACAACTAAATATAGAGAATAAAGTGAGATTGAAAGGTATGTTGTATTTCTGATCTAAATAAATATTAATATCAGTGCTCAAAGTCAATGATCATCGCTAATGTGTTAATTTCAGAATGATGGAGCTGAGGTACATAAAGAAAAGAGAGAAGTTCGAATAAAAGCAGTGAGAAGAGGAAATGCATATTATGTGGAATCAAGAAACAGAAAAGAGGCAGCACATGTATCAACAGAAGAAGATGTGTGGCATCAACATGCAAATATGAGGATTATTAAAGAGATGAAAAATGAGAAATTGGAAATAGTTATAAAAGGTAAGGATAAATTAAATATAAAGTGCAAATGTTGCATTAAGATAAAAATGTGTAAAAATATCTATAGGAACTTGGAAACTATAAAAGCAGTAATAATGGGGCTGTGACACATAGACTTGATCAGACTAATAAAGCCAATGTCAAAAGGTGGTAAATAATTAGATATATGTGTTTTAGAACGAATTTCATACAAAATTACATTTTCATTGACAAAATTTAATTGCTATAGCTAATGCTGGAAAAGATGACAATGATTTCCAATTCTTCTTTACTCTTGGTTCTACATCAGAATTGCAGAATAAACATACAAGGTAAATTTAATGTTTACAAGAAAATATATCAAGAATTGATATAAATATAATATTTCCTCTTTTTTGTAGAATGATAGACCAGTTTATCCTCCAAGATTGATAAAAACTAGAATATTGAACAATCCATTTTCTGATATTATACCAAGAATACTAGTACAGGAAAGTGAAGAAGTAAAGGACAATTCAAAAACTGAATCAGCAGTAGTAAAGTAAAAATCATATATGCTTGCAGAATTTAGCCCTGACAGTATTGCTCTTTGTAATGAAAAATTTTGTTACAGAGATATCAATCTTTTATCATTTGGTGAAGAAGCAGATGAAGATGAAGAAGAATCTATGATATTAACTTTGTTACAGAGATATCAATCTTTTATCATTTGGTGAAGAAGCAGATGAAGATGAAGAAGAATCTGTGATATTAACTAAAAAGTTTAGTGGTAAGGGCAAATCAGTTCATTAGTTTAACTGATTCAAAATAAAGCTCACAACCAGCTGTTCAACCACCTGGACCTCCAAATAAGAAAAGGAAAAAAGACTGGAATAGCGATTGGGAAAGTGACGATGAAGTAAAAACTTAACAAGAATTAGAAGTTATAAAGAAAGAGAAAGAGTTAGTTTATTGTTTACATTATAACTATGTTATAGAAAGTAGGATTTTTCATTGACTGTCCTATATTTATATTTTCTAAGTAATGAAGGAAAGTATAAAAAATAAATTGAGAGATATAAAAAAAGACCCGAAGAATTATGTTGTTAATAATTAACGTGTATATGTGAAACTTCCAAAGTGAATAAAAGGTACCTAAGTATATAACCATCGTAGTTTCATTTTCTTTTTACCAAGAACAAAATCACTCGCTTTCATCTGTGACTTAACGTTCGTCTATAATTAATTCATTAACTTTTATAATCGCATTGTGAAGACAGCCTTAGCGAGCCTTCTAATATAAGTCTGGATATGAATTCATTCTTATTTAATTCATTATTGGTGATTATTGCATAGAGTGTTTGAACCATTGCTAAAGACACTAATGGTTTGTCTTTCCATTAGTATAATGGAATAATTAATAATTTCAGTTCATGAATTAATTATAGAAATTTGGAATTTTTCGCAACAGAAATATATTTATATTTGCTTTATTGACATTCCTAAATATAAGAGACAGAGTTTGATATTTTACATCGATACTTTATCAGATAGCTATTTCAAAGATGCAACATTTTCCCGCTACACAATACCTAGCATATCCGGCTGCAGCCAACTTCCAGTTGGCGGCAAGCGGGCATAACGGTAACATGGTGGAATGAATATTCTCACGCGTCTAAATGAAACATTAAATCTCAGAACATTTCGTGAAGTAGTGATATCGCTGATTGACGTTTCAATTACTTTACGAAGTTCAAGATTACTAACTGTGAACATTTCTACGGTGGTAATATACTACATGTGAAAAAAAGTGATGTTACATAGTGTAAACCGTGTAACGATACATGTGAGAAATGAAGTGGTATGAGTGAGCGATCCTATAATACTACCGCATTGTCCGTTATTATCGCCTGTAGAAGATTCTAGAATTCGACAGTTCGTTGGAATATTTGATTAACATTATTCTCAATAGGCAGCTTTTAAATAGCTTTTTTCAATTTTTCTTCGATCTTGACATTCCATTGCAACATAGTTATGTATTATCTCTTTTACATTCTAAACTTCAAATGTGGATTAGAATATTTCCTTACTATTGCATAGGATAAGCTGTTCTCCATCCAGTAAGGCAATTATATTACGATTGAAGGTGCATATGCGAAACAAAATAACGGAAAAGCAAGTGCCTGTGAAATCGTTCTACACATTATCCTTTATTCGGCTATATTTCTGAAATTAGGCTTTAC